GCAGAGCTTTGTTTGTCCAAGGCTGTGGCCTTCCAGCTTTGAAAAATACTGGGGTTATATGAGGCTTGAGCTTTTTGGAATGGTGACTTACTGGGAGACTTTAAAAAGGCAGTGTTCCCATTTTGATGGGAACCTGATTCTTACCTTGGTAAATGTTTTCTTCTTTGAAGTTATCAGCAAGTCTTTAACAGGCTTTTGTTTCTCTTTTTTAGATCGTAAATAAATCTTCCTGGCAGAGAGGATTTGCGTATGGAAGTGTTATCAAGGCGGAGAGCATTGACCTTTCCCTTAAAGCCAGCAGGGCAGGAGATAATTTAGTATTTGGCATCAGGCCTGGCGATCCGAACGTTGGAGAGAAGCTGGATGCTGATGGACTGCCTTTTGTTGGGTCTATCCTGCAGCCTGGGGACCCCTTCTACAGCTTCATGAACCTCAACACAGGGGAGACCTTCACTGTGTACTATCCGTAAGTACAGCTTGTCACTCCTGGCTCTGCTCATCCCACGGGAGAGCAGGTGGCCCTTTCCCTGCAGATGTTCCCTTTTCTCCTCACATGATAGTGTCCATGGCGTGACAGAGAGCATGAAGTTCATGCTGTAGGTCATTCCCAGGCATGTGTCACATCTTTTCTCTAAGCCAGTGTGTGCTGCAGAGCTGGCTTATCCCAAGAGGATATTTTTTTGGTGATTTGCCTGTGCTGGTTGTATGTGGACATGGTAACAGTTAAGCGTGCAGCAGACCCCTGGCACATGGAATATCAGGCTGAGGGCTCATCTATAGAAGGAGCACAACCCCCCTGAACAAGGCACTTGTCAAAGCTCACACTTGGCCTTCCCTTTCTGCTCTGAACTTCCCTCTCTACTGAAGAACTGAATCAGGTTCTTTATTTTGGAATCCCATCAGTATGATGTGAATTTATTGGTGGCAGGGAGAGGGGCTGCTGCCTTAACACAATGGAAATGGCAGTGGGATGCAGTTTATCAGATACAAAGTGTGATACAGGTGAACCAGGTTGAAATGATCCTTATTTTAAATCATGGGTGCCACATTACCCGATCTCCTGAAAGTGGTACCTGAATGGCACTTGGAAGATGCCTTTGTATTGCTTCCTTGCCCTAATTCTTACATAGTCTGAGTTCCCTCACTACTGAGTAGTACTTTGAAGAATGATGGTGTTTCTCAGCTGTCCAAAGGCATTTTATAAGTGGTTTAGGTTTTTTGCTTCATTTTCCTTTTGAAACTAAAAATTATTATCAAACCTGACACCTTTGCTATGATTCGACCTACACAGGAGTAAGGAAGTGGGCATTGTGGACAACGTTCGGTTGTGCAGCAACGACCGTGGCACTGGGAAGTTCAAGAAGGCTTGCATTACTGTGAGGGTTCCCCGAAATCCCACTATTGGAGACAAATTTGCCAGCCGTCACGGACAGAAAGGTATCCTGAGCCAGCTGTGGCCCGTCGAGGACATGCCCTTCACAGAGAACGGGATGGTTCCAGACATCCTCTTCAACCCTCACGGCTTTCCCTCCCGCATGACCATTGGGATGTTAATTGAGAGCATGGCAGGGAAGTCAGCAGCCCTGCATGGCATCTCCTATGATGCCACTCCCTTCACCTTCACCGAGAAGAAGTCTGCTCTGAAATACTTCGGTGAGACTTTAGCGAGCGCAGGTTACAACTTCTTTGGCACGGAGAAGATGTACAGCGGCATCAGCGGGGTGGAGCTGGAGGCAGAGATCTTCGTGGGGGTGGTGTACTACCAGCGCCTGCGCCACATGGTCTCCGACAAGTTCCAGGTGAGGACCACGGGGCCCCGAGACGCTGTCACCAACCAGCCTGTCAAGGGCAGGAATGTGGAAGGTGGGATCCGCTTTGGCGAGATGGAGCGGGATGCTCTGCTGGCCCACGGCACGTCCTTCCTGCTGCAGGACCGCCTGTTCAACTGCTCCGACGGCTCCGTAGCCTACGTGTGCACGAGCTGCGGCAGCATGACGTCCCCTGTGCTGGAGAAACTGTCCCACTCTGTGACCAGCAGCAGGAGGTATTCCTGCTCCATCTGCAGCGAGGTGGATGCCATCGAGGTTGTCCCTGTGCCCCATGTCTTCCGCTACTTTGTGGCTGAGCTGGCAGCCATGAACATAAAAACAAAGCTCAATGTGGAGTAGCTTGGTCCTTGGCATGGTGATAGTTGGAGGGAGGAGGCACATATCAAGTCTCATCCTTGTCCCTGAGTTTCAGGTATTAAGTCAGTTCTCAGGTTCTTCCAAAGAATTCAAAATTATTTTGATATTTGTATTGCGAGGGTGCTTGCCAAGCTATAGGGCAAGGAAAGATGGCTCTGTTGGTTTGTTTGGACTTCCTAAAGGATCACCAGCTATTGAGATGTGTATGAAGATCAGGTGATATTGCTGCTCTGCCCAAGCTCCTGGGTTGAGAGTGATGGGATTCTTTGAATTCAGGCTGAAACTGTAGGTATGAAGAGGTCATAAAACAACATGAAATGAATGCTGGAAATTACAAAAGAATTTTTTTGTTGTTTTTTTTCAAGAAAAATCTTTGGAAAATGTATGCCTTAATGATGGATTTGTGTTGAAGTTATTGTACATGTTTTTTCTTTATTTCAATACATGTGCCTTGAGTCATAAAGAAGGTGGCACAAAGTTCTGCTGCGTGAAGCCACAGCCCTGACTGCAAGTAATCAAGGTTGCCCTGCCAGGTGTGTCCTGGAAGTGTTTGGTGTCACCAAGCTGAGCGGTGCTGGGGTTTGGGGTTTGTTTTGGTGCATTTGGCTGAAGAAGAATAAAGCAGAGGCATTTCCAGCCTGGCTCGTGCATGTGCAGCATGGATATTACAGGACTGGAGCTCGTCCTCCCCTTAAGGCCACAGCAGCTGCCACCCACCCTGCCCTGTCCCAGGTGTCCGTCCGTTCCCCCATGCCCGCCCCGGGCGCAGCCGTACCCTGCGGCGCGGCCCAGAATTCTTGTGTAGTTTCTTCTTCACCTGCCGGCAGCGCCGTGCTGGGCTGGGGCTGCTCCCGGGGCTCGGCGGGCGGGAGGCGCTGGGGGTGTCCCGGGGGCGCGGTGCTGATGTGCAGCACCCCCGGGGCCGGGACTCGCTCCGTGGCGCGGCCGGGAAGGAGCAGCGGGGCGGAGCGGGGCCGTACCAGCGGCGAGGGAGCGCCGCGCCAGCCCCGGCCCCGCAGCCCCGGCGGTGGGCGGTGCAGCCGGAGCTGCGGGTGGGGGCTGAGCCCTTGGCGGCCCCGGGCGCTGCAGCTGCCATGGAGCTGCGCCGGGCGCTGCTGGCTGCCGCTCTGCTCCCGCTCCTGCCCCGTGAGTACCCCCGGGACAAACCCAGGCCGGGTGCCACCCAGCCTGCATGCAAAGGCTGAGCTCTGCTGAGCTGGCAGCCGTGCTGGGTGGGATGTGTGAGGGAAGCAGTGCCCCTAAACCTTGTCTCCTTCAGTTGGCAGGGCAGCTGTGCCACTGCCTACGCTGACCCGGCCACTGAGCATGGTGCTGGCTGGGCAGCACCGGCAGCTGGTGGTGTGCGTGGTGAGCGACTTGGCCCCCAGCTCTGGCCATGCTGTCTGGATCTCCGGTGGGAATGGTAGCATCCTGCAGTCCTTTGCCTATGGGGCCTCCCAGGAGGATGGTGGCACCGTCTGCTCCGTCTCCCTCCTTTCCAGTGACTCCCCGCGCGAGAGGGAACTTGCCTGCCATGTGGGGGCCAACAGGACCTCCCCGTCCCACAGCTCCAGCCCCATCCGCATCACGGGTATGACCCTGCTGCCACCCCCTCTGCCTGCCTTGGCCACGGCTGCCCAGCCGAGTGGGTGCACTGGTGGCCCCCGAGGAGAGAGGTCGGCAGGGCCTCTGGGGCCAGCAGGGAGCAGGTGTGAGGCGCTAGAGGCAAACGTTGCTGTCCCGATCACAGGAAGGGGTTTGTGGCTAGCCCTGCCATGCACCTGGTGCTGGGCTGCCAGTGCCTCCCCAGCTGCTCTTTCATCCCACAGGCAACGAGGAGGCAGCAGAGCTCTGTAGCACAGCTGGTGAGTCTCTGGCCCCTGCCTGATGGGAATGTCAGCTACCAGGGAGAAAGCCCTGGCAGTGGCTTGGCTGGGGCTATGTGGTGGTTGGGATGGGTTTTTCCCAGTGTTGTGGGGCTGGGGAAGAGGGAGGGAAGCTTCACCTTGGTGGGAAGAATGGAGAAACTGGGTCAGAGCCAGCCTGCCTGGCCTCGGGAACAGCATGAGGGTGACATGAGGTGTCTCTGGAATGTGTAAAGATCCCAAGTCTGCCCAAACACAGCCCCGTGGCAGGCCTGGAAGGGACGTGGGTGCAGTGTGTGTGGGGTGTCTGTGGCAGGCATCACCTCACCCTTCCATTGCAGTGTCACCGGCCCCTGCCTTGGCAGCGCTGCTTATGGCTGTCCGCGTGGTGCTGCTGAAGGTCTTGCTCTCTGATGCTGTCCTCACCTCCATCCTCCTCGCCCAGAGCTGAGGGCATGGGCGACTGCCCACGCCTGAAGGGTAAGTGCCCCTGGTTTGGTGTAGGGGTGTGGAAGTCACTAGAAACATTCTGGAGACTAGAGAGGGGACCCCCAAACGGAGGAGGGAGGAGACCCAGTGTTGGCTGGCGGAGGTACAGGATGGGAATCTTGAGGAGACAAGAGAGAGGAACTGACAAATTTCTGTGGGTGGCAAGGCCCCGGAATTACCTGAAGGATGGGAAGGGACCCCAAGGTACCTCGGGGGTGAAAGTTTCCAGAATTCCAGAGGCAGGGAGGGCCCCGGCGGGTTGCGGGTATCCCGCGGGGCGGCCACGTGCGCGCCCCTTCCCACGTGGGCGCTCGGCGGGACCGCCCGGGGGCGGTGCTACGGGCGCCGCGCGCCGCTGGGATTGGTTGGCGGCGGCCAGCGGGGATTGGTTACGCGGGTCACGCGCGCCTCCGCCATTGGCCGGCGCGGCGGGGTCGCCATGGTAACCGGGCGTGGCGGGGCGGGAGCGCGCCCCGGAAGCGGAGTCATGGCGGCGGCGGCGGGGGCAGCGTTGCTGATGCTGCTGATGGCGGCGGCGCTGGCGGAGGGCGACGACTCGGACTGGGTGCGACTGCCCAGCAAGTGCGAGGGTAAGCGGGGCCTCGAGGGGCTGGGCTGATCGGCGGCCGCCCGCTGTCTGCTCGGGCCGGGGGTTGCTGGAGCGAGGCTGCGCCCCCGCGGGCTGCTCCTCTGCCCGCCTCCTGCCCGCGGGCATCGCTGTTCCCGACAGTCAGTCCATCGCCTGCCCATCGGCTCGCAGCTGGGACTGGCTGTGTGTGCTGCTTACATCTTGGTCTCCGTGATGCTTCCTATCTGAGTATCCCTTTGGTTCGCAGGCAGTCCAGGGTAGGTCATGACGGGCATTTGCTGCCTGGTGCGGTTTCTCTGTCTTTGTTGTGCAGGCACATGTGGAGCTGGACAGCAGAGAGAAAATTTTTAAAAATAGGGAGTTCTTTACAAAACTTTCCCTGCCTGGGAAGCAGCTCTGGAGATGCTGATGTCCGAGTTCTGCTGTGGCAGCAGCATAACCTCAGAGAAGCATCAGAGCAAGCACTGACTGCACTCTGCTCCTCTTCCTGCCCAGGCTTCGAACCTGTGTCAGTGCACAGCAAAACCTGCAGGAAACATCTGGGTAACTGGACTCAGCACTGAGCACTCCTGGCATGTGTGGGGACAATGCAGCAGCTGTGGTGAGGAGGGGGACATCCTTGAGATCCGAGCTCCAGGGGTCTGCAGGAAGGAGAGATCATCCCAGCTGAGAAATGGCCACAGCTGCCTCCAGTCCCCTGTGCCAGCAGAGAAAGGATTGTGCAGGAGGTGTGCACAGGCTTCTCAACGCTGCATGGGAGCTCTGGAGAAGCCACCTCGCTCTCTTCCTGCCTGGGGCATCTCTCAACTCACATAATTGCCTGGGGAAGACACTGGATCATTGCTGTCAGACCATTCCTGCTGGAGCTTGGCACTTCTCCTTAAGTGGATCTTGAAGAAGAGGTGGCTCCTGACAAACAGGACCCCACAGCGCTGGACAAAGCTTTCTCCAGCCTCCTGAGACCCTGTTTTTGGGGGAGGAATAGCCACACCATGCCTGGCTTCCATTCCTCCCCATTCCCACTTGTAAACCCCTGAGATATTTCTCCTGCTCTCTGTTTCTATAGCTCTGTTGGGCTCTTTTTACTGAAGAAATAAAGTCTTTTTTTTTAGCTTTATAAAAATAACCATGCACTGTGTTCTAAATCTGTTGATGATGTGGTCTCTGCTGCACGCAGAGCCCCAGGCTGTGTTGCTGGAGGCCACGGCCAGCACTTTGTCCTGTCACCGAGCCCTGCCAGCTGCTCAGTCCCCAGCACAGCCCCAGTGTCCCCAGAGCACTGAGAGCACAGAACCAGTACCAGGTGGGACGTGCTGCTGTCACGAGGAGAAGCTCTGAGCCACACTGCGACTTGCATTGCAAAAAGACTCTGTGCTCTTCCCAAAGGAGGAGAGCAGCTTGTGGTAGTGGCTTTTGTGGGGACAGCTGCAGGGAGAACTGAGCCTGTGTGACTTCCAGCTGTGCCACTGCAGCTGGTTTACACTGAAACATTGGTTTGGGTGCTCCAGTGGAAGCAGCTGAGCCATTCCTGGTTATTTCTTTGGATGGCCAGAATGTGTTTCATGCTCACAGCAGCTTTGGCATGCCCGGTTCCTGGCTGGTTCCTGCTGCTGTCCCAGGTGCTTTGTCACACTGCCTGTCTGAACAGCGACACCCCCTAAAGCACCTGTGCTCTCTCCTTCCCACAGTGTGCAAGTACGTAGCGGTGGAGCTGAAATCCGCCTTCGAGGAGACTGGCAAGACCAAGGAGGTGATCGACACCAAGTATGGCTTCTTAGACGGGAAGGGCTCTGCTGTCAAGTACACACAGTCGTAAGTGGGAGTGGGACAGGAGTCTCCTGCTGCTGTCACTGCCTCTGGAGCCGGGGGCTTTGGGAGGCTCACCCTGTGCCCTGGCTGTTGCTGAGGGCCCACACCAAGCCTGAGCCTTTCTCTCCATGCAGGGACATCCGGCTAATTGAGGTGACAGAGAACATCTGCAAGCGGCTGTTGGATTACAACCTGCACAAGGAGAGGAGCGGCAGTAACAGATTCGCAAAGGTGAGGCCCGTTCCTCCAGTTCCTGCTCCCAAATGTGCCTGATCCATCCCTTCACTGCCAGAGTGACAAACCAGGTTCATTCTTCCCAGCCTCTGGATCCCCTGATAGTGCCTGGCATGCGAGGCCACGCTGCCCCCCAAGTCAGATGTGGGGTGCTGTCTTTGGTGGCGGTGGGCAGGCATGGAGGGAACTTGGGGCTGTCTTCCTCTTGGGTTTGGGACCAGGTTTGCAGAGGGGAACTCGCTGCCCCTTGAACTCCCTCCTGGTAACGCTGATTCCCCAGGGATCTGGCTTGCATGTTCCTGCATGGCTGGGCAGGGTTGTGTGGCTGGCACTGGGAGGAGAGAGGGGGAGCCCTGCAGGAGGAGCACGGCCTCACCAGGCAGTGCTGCTCCCTCCCTCACAGGGCATGTCGGAGACGTTCGAGACCCTGCACAATCTGGTGCACAAGGGTGTCAAGGTGGTGATGGACATCCCCTACGAGCTGTGGAATGAGACCTCCGCTGAGGTGGCTGACCTCAAAAAGCAGGTACCCCGCCCCGTGGGATTGGCCCTCAGTGGCTGCTGTGACCTTGTGGGCTGGAGTGGAAGGAGGGAGAGCATCCAGGGAGAGCTGCTGGGAGCAGGATGTTGGCAGGACCTGTGGCAGGAGCCTGGCCCTGGTCCTGCCACACCAGCACATGTCTGGAGCTGGGCTCTCCTCTCTGCCCTAGTGCGATGTGCTGGTAGAGGAGTATGAAGATGTGATTGAAGATTGGTACAGGCACCACCAGACGGAGGATCTCTCCCAGTTTCTCTGTGCCAACCACGTGCTAAAAGGAAAGGACACAAGTAAGTCCTGGTTGCTTCCAGGGACTGAAATAATGCAGGAATGCTCAGGAGGGCAGGGGAGCCTTGCTAAAGCATGGGGAGTCCTGCCTCTCCAGCAGAGCCCACTCTGCCCCCCTCTTCTCTTTTCCCTAGGCTGCCTGGCAGAGAAGTGGACTGGCAAGAAGGGTGATTTGGCAAGCGTGGGGGAGAAGCAGAGCAAAAAAAAGAGCGGGAAGAAGAAGAAAAAGGGCCAGAAGGATGAGCGCGAGGGAGCTGCCAGCCTTCCGGACACAGGGGAAGCCCTGGAGGGGGTCCAGGAGCAGGCTCCGCTCACCCACAGCCCAGCTGATGAGCTGTAGGCACGCAGCCCCTGCCCCGGGGCCGCCCGCTCCGGGCTTTCACCCCGCTGTGCCTATGGGTACCAAAGGAAAAGGGACTTGTGACCCGGGGGAGACCAGAGCGCCTGGCCCCGCCTTGCCAGCCTGGGTGCTATCCCGTGTTAGGTGTCACGGAGCCGCGGACCCAGCCGTGCCGCATCCCTGCCGGGGGCTCCAGCTCCGGGAGGCCGCGAGTGCTGCCCCGCCGCCGGCTCCTCGCACGCCGCCGGGACTGTAAATAAAGACGTTTTCCCCAGAGTCGCCGCCGCCACTGCCGGCCGTGCTTCTGCTGCTGCTGCTGGGTGCGGGATCGGCGCTCCGCGGCCCGGGGAGGCCGTGAGGGGCGGGCGGGTCCCGCGGGCCGGCCCTGACCCCGCCGAGGCAAAGGTCGGGGCTGTGAGGGGGCGCGGCGCGAGCGCTGCCGGGCGGCGCGCATGGGCGGGGCCGCGGAAGGGGGAGGGCGTGGCCCGGCCGGGGGCGGGAGATGAGCGGCGCGAGCGGCGATTGGCGGAGCCGCGGGGGCGGACGCGGCGGAGATTGGCGGGAGCGCGGGGGCGGGGCGCGGCGGGGGCGGGGCGAGGCTGAGGGGCCGCGGCCGTGTCGGTGTCCGGGTCCGTGTCGGTGTCGGAGTCCGGGTCCGTGGCGGCGGCGGCGGGATGGTGGACAGCGTGTACCGGACGCGATCGCTGGGAGTGGCGGCGGAGGGGCTGCCGGACCAGTACGCGGACGGGCGGGCGGCCCGCGTGTGGCAGCTGTACATCGGGGACACGCGGGGCCGCACGGCCGAGTACCGCAGCTGGCTCCTGGCGCTGCTCCGCCAGCACCGCTGCCGCTCCGTCCTGGACGTGGCCTGCGGCACCGGGTGAGGCCCCGCTCCCGCCCACATCCCAGGTGTCCCTTCCCCCTGCCCGGGGCTACCCGGGCCTCCGGCAATCCCCAGTGCCCCCCCGGCCCCTGTGCTGCTCCCGGCCCCGCTGACAGCCGTGTCCCCAGGGTGGACTCCATCATGCTGCTCGAGGAGGGCTTCCAGGTGACCAGCGTCGATGCCAGCGACAAGATGCTCAAGTACGCGCTGAAGGAGCGCTGGGAGCGGCGCAAGGAGGAGCCCTTCGACCGATGGGGTGCGGGGGCTGTGGGGGCCGGGAGGGGCTGCGGACACTGGCACTCTCCCGCACTGTCCATCCTCGCAGTGCTCGGGCCACTCATCTGGGACTGCCGCTGGCTGGGTGGCTTTGCTGCGGGCACCTGATAGTGCCAGATGCTCGGCAAAGACAAGCCGTGGTCCTTGTTTGTCTGGCTGCTAGCCAGAGGGCAGAGCCAGCAGCCAGAGGGGCCTGGGAAGGGCTGGGTGATGCTGGGATGGGGTCTTGCAGGCAGAGGAGGCTTTTGGGTGTCCCTACCCTCATCCATTTCCCTGTGCTGCAGTCATCGAGGAGGCCAACTGGCTCACACTGGAGAAGGACCTGGAGAAGCCAGGGGATGGGTTTGATGCCGTCATCTGTCTCGGGAACTCCTTTGCACACCTGCCTGATTTCAAAGGTGGGTTGGGGCAGGGGAGAGGAGGGGGAGCACCTATGCGTGCATGGTGTTTTCCAGCAAGCTGAGAACATGTCCTAAGTCATGGCATTAGTGGGATGGGATTACACACAGTGGAGCTGCTGTTTCATGGCGCATCTCCAGGGAGGGTGGAGCTGAGGCCCCACTGCCCCAGTCTGTGACATGAGTGGGCCCATTGGGTGCCATGGTCATGGTGGAGGTTTGTGCATCAATGTCACTGCTCTGGCAAGGCTGGAGGCACACCCAGATTTGTGCCACAAAGGCGGGTGGTGGGTTTCCCACGTGGCATGCTCTGCTCCAGTGAGGCTGAGAACGTGCCTGAGCTCATGCCATGGGTGGGGCTGTGGGTTCTCCAAGCTGAGATTTGGGGGAAGATGGTAGGGCAGGTATTTGTGTGTGCATGTGTATGTGTGTATGGGTAAGATGAGGACATATGGACTGTGCCACGGGGCACAGCCAGTGCTTGGAGACACTATCGTTTCCTCTCCAGGGGACCAGAGTGACCACAAGCTGGCCCTGAGGAACATTGCCAGCATGGTGCGGCCCGGGGGTGTCCTGGTCATCGACCACCGCAACTACGATCACATCCTGGCCACGGGCTGCGCGCCGCCCGGCAAGAACATCTACTACAAGGTCGGTGGCTGGCAGGCCCTGCCCCATCCCAACCCCCTTTGTCCCAGTCCCACGGCCTCAAGGGGGCCAGGCAGGGCAGGCAGCAGGATTGTGCCCAGGCTGGGGGCCACTGAGTCCCCACAGGACACAGATGTCCTCCTGTGGTCTCCTAGAGCGACTTGACCAAGGACATCACCACCTCGGTGCTGCTGGTAAACAACAAGGCACACATGGTGACCCTGGACTACACGGTGCAGGTCCCCCCCACTGAGGCGGGGGCAGACCCGGAGCTGAGGTGAGAAGAGCTGCAGAGGTGGCTCCGGGCGTGGGGGGGTGGCTGGCGCTGTGCCCCGCTGTCCCCCTGCCTCACCAGCACTGCCTCCTTGCAGCAAGTTTCGCCTCTCGTACTACCCGCACCGGCTGGAGGCCTTCACGGCTCTGCTCAAAGGTGCCTTCCAGGGAAAGTGCCAGCACAGCGTCCTGGGCGACTTCCAGCCCTACACACCGGGACAGGCCCACGTGCCCTGCTACTTCATCCACGTCGTGAAGAAGACAGGCTGAGGGAGCTACGGAGATGGGACTGTGGTGGCTGAGAGCTCCAAGCAGCTGTGGGTCCAAGCAGGGGGTGGGGACATGGCTGAGAGCCGCCTGGGAGACCCCTCCCCTTAATTAAGAACACTTGTGAGAGCTACCTTCGATCATGGTCCGTGTGTCCCTGTATGGGCAGGGTACGGGGCAAGGGGGACGGCCACTGCCTCTTCAGGACTCTATGGAAGGAGGTGCTCAGCCTGGGGGCGGCACAGGATGGGTGCAGGCACAGCTGCAGGTGGGGCTTGGGGCTTCCCTTGAAGCGGGAAAGAGGGGTGAGCTGGCTGCCAGGTGGTTGCAGAGCCCAGCTGAGTCCCTGCAGCACCGCTCACAGGAGTGTGCTGGAACCTGTTACCTCACGTGCACCTCTCAAACAGGTGCTGTCTCCTGTTCTTGACACTCCTCAGCCCCCTCCAGTGGGGGTACCCACTCCCCACTGGAGCTCCCAGAGTGGGGAGGCTCCATGCTGGACCCTCCACCCATGCTTCTGCTGTGGCTGCAGCTCCCTCCCTCCCTCCCTCCCACCCCGGGGAAGATGTGGTGCCCAGATCCAGCAGCACGGAGCAGTGTGGTCAGGGATAGCCCTGCCTGAACACGCTCAGGCACCAGAGCCAGAGCCACAGGGCTCCAGGCATGCACCAGCTGCAGACTCACTCATGGAATGTCAGAAGCTGCTGTGGAACCAGCCCTTAGCAGATGAGCTCCAGGGGGAGCAGGTCCTCACAGCCACGCTTGGCCCAGGGATCCAGCTGTCAGCAGGCTCAGTGCCTACAACAGGTGGGGCAAAACCTAGCACCAGCAACCCCTTGGGCTGCACAAAGCTGAGGGCAGCTGCAGGCACCTGGCCAGCAGCTGTCAAACAGCTCCAGTGCCGTTTGTTGGGCACCCTTGGAAAAGGCTGGGAAGCAGGGGATATGCAATGCCACCAGCAGCTGCTGTAATGTTATGGAGGGAGGTGAGACAGGAGCTCAGTGGTGCTCAGCACAAATTAGTGCAGGCTGGGTAGCTCCAGGCTGCTCCAGACAAGGTTTGAGTATTTCCAAGGCTGAAGCTCCCCTTCTCTCTGTGACAAATTTTTCCTCTCATCCAATGGGAATTTCTTGCTGCCACTTGCTCCCATTGCCTCATGTCCTGTCACTCAGTGTCTCCAGCAAGAACTGGGCTCCTTCTGCAGAGGGAGCTCAGCTCACAGCCAAGCAAGCGCCTCTTCCTCAGGCCTTCCTCATCCACCAAGGGCTCCAGCCATTCTGGCAGGATGAGAGTGGCCCCAGTCTAGTTCACAGGTGTGCTCCCCTCTCTACCTGCAGGACAATGATCTCTCTGTACCACCCAGCCCACCCAAAAGTTGCAGGGACCTTCCTGAGCCTACAGACACCATCAGAAGCAATAACGAGGTCAGGCAGTGAGCACCTAGTGCTAAAAAAACTGTATTTATTCAGATACTATGTCAAGTCCAGGCCAGCTGGAGCAGCAGTGCCCTGTGTCCTGCTGCCCCTCTGGCCAGCACCTCCCACTAAGGGCTGACAGCCCAACAAGCAGCTGCCTCAGCCCTGCACTTGCTGCCAAACCAGGTGCAGTTTGAGTCTTGCTCCCCCACCAAAGAATGGCCTGTCAGTCATGGAGACACCACTACACTGCCCATGGCTTTGTTCCTGCAAGGAGATCACCCTGCTATGCCCCCGCAGCCACAATGCACTGCTGCCACGTCAGGGACCCTCACAGAACCCACCACCCTCCTGGATGAGCAGAGAAGCACTTCCACCAGGCCTTGGCTTGGGAAACTGCACAGACACTATTTCCACCCAGGCTCAAAAGAAGGGGGCCTGGGAGGCATCAGAGAAGAGCAGGCAGTGTCTGTTTGTGCCTGTTCTCCAGTTCCAGCTCTGCTGAGCATTAGGAGGCCGCAAACTTCTGCTGGATGAGTCTGTACCTGAGCAGCTCCTGCTCAGAGACTGATGGCTGCAACCTGGCAGCAGCCTGCAGAAAGTCTTCCATGGTCAGGATCAGAGCAGACTTCTCAGTATCCAGCCCTGCATGAGAGAAAACAACAAGAAAGGGCTGAGAACAGGGGCAGCTGGTAAGATCCAAAAGGCCACTCTCCAGCCATCAAAGACTGCCATCAAAGGAAAAGCTGTGTTTCTCCCTTCCCCCCAGGGCCAAGCACTGGAGGTGGAGATGACCACATCTGCAAAACTGCCTGCCTGGCAATAACCCAGAGCCCAGCGCTGTGGTCCCAAAGCTGCTGAGGATCTTCTCACACAGCCCAGCTACCAGCAGTGGTAACTCTCCTCTCTGCCCCTCTGCTGGGCTGCTCCAACAACTGGGACAGGTAAGGGCAGGGCTCCTACCTTCCTCAATCCACTCCACCTTGCGTTTGACAGCACACATCATGGCATCTGAACACAGGGCATAGATGTCTGCTCCTGTCAGCTGAGCCGGGCATTTTTCTAGGATGGTGGTGAGATTCACAGAAGGATCCAGTTTAAACCTGCCAAGAGAGA